CTGTGTGCATTGAATTTATTTAATACACGAGTTTCACAATTTGAGTTGAATTACTGAAATAAATGAACTTTTCCACGACATTCTAATTTATTGAGATGCACCTGTATATGACCTTAATTCGAAACTGAAGTTTCAATACGTTAAATTGAAAGTAACATTTCAATCTCATGCATTTTTAATAACATTTCCCAAATGCTACTAATCATTTATGTAGGCAGTACAAAACAACGTTTTGGACATTATAACAGCTTATATTATTACTGAACTTGAATTAACAAGTTGTGAAGTGTACTGTATGGTTAAGGTGGCGATCTCATAACGGATTTTGATACAGCTTCTTGATGTCAACATGAGCGTGTGGACATCAATCTGGTGAAACTTCAGCCAAGGCAGGTCATTATTTAACAACATGCACTTTTGCAATCCACCACACAGCTTCCTGTTTTTCTTAATATACTGTGTGGTCATAAGAACAGATCAAGCTGAACTGGTCTGAGAGAGGGAGAGAGCATGGTATATGGGGTCATCCTGGTCTTTGCATCCTTTAATATTTAATGTTGCAGCATTTTATCACCAAGTTACCATTGTGAATAATATTATAAAACAGACCACAAGGCTTGGATTTATTATTTTATAAAAATACATCATTGTTTGTGTTTCAGTAAAGAATGATTTACTACAATCTACACATTTGCAAGTCTCATTTCATTGTGCTAAATAAGTGATTCACTTCTGCAGTCTGGATGCACACCATATAGCACAGCTGTCACAATACTTGCACAGCTAGGGAAAACCTTATCCAGGAACCTCATTACAGATGAGTCTTAGGTCAACACTTTATTTAACCTGTGTATTGGCCTAGAAGCCTCAATATTAAGTATCACAATGCCCTGTCTGTTGAAGCAGAGTTTTAACTTGCAATGTTAGTCAGTCAATTGAAACACTGGTTAAAAGAAAATTGGTATAGTGTCAAACTAAAACTCCTTGTGCTTACTAAATGTACATGTGGTTAGCTGCTAAAATGTAAAAAAATATGACACAAGCATAAATGTACAGACGTAGGACGACAGACAGATGTGTGAATAATGTGTTATTAACACCCCATGGTGCAGTGTGTGTGCTGCACACAAGAAATGACTGCGCAGTATTTCCTGCACT